TAAAAATAGGAACTCAAACCCAGACAGCCTAATGTCCCAGTGTATGCTGTCATGACATACTCTTTCTGTTTCTTTTTTTTTGCTGGTCCTGGGGCTTGAACTCAGGACTTGGGCACTGTCCCTGAGCCTCTTTGTGCTCAAGGCTAGCCTCCACCACTTGAGCCAAAGCATCACTTCCAGTCTTTTCTGAGTAGTTTATTGAGATGAGAGTTTCACGGACTTTTCTGCCCTTCCTGGCTTCAAACCAAGATCCTCAGATCTCAGCCTCCTCAGTAGCTAATATTACAGGCATGAGCCACTAGTGTCCATCTTTGTTTTGTAGTACTGGGATTTGAATTAAGAGTTTTATGCTTAGAAGGCAGGCAATGTATTGCTAAGCCACAGATCTAGCCATTTTCTGACTGGTTATTTTTGAGAGGTCTCAGTTTCTCTGTGGACTTATGCCTGGACTTCAAAGTGTCAACTTCAGACTACCCAGCATAGCTGGGATGACACACATGTTCTACTATGCCCAGCTTCTTACACTGAAATGGGAATCTCATAAACTTTTCTGCCCAGGCTAGTCTAGAACTAGCCTCCCAAACTCAATCCTACAAGTAGCTAAGATTATAGGCACAAGCCACTGGAACCACATAAACTTCTGCATTCTTTAAAAAAAGACACTGAAGCCAAACACCAGTGGCTCACGCCTGTAATCCTAGCTACTCAGGAGGCTGAGATCTGAGGATCACAGTTAAAAGCCAGCCCAGGCAAGAAAGTCTGTGAGACTCTTATCTCCAATAAACCACCAGAAAACCAGAAGTGGCGCTGTGGCTCAAGTGATAAGAGTGCTTGCCTTGAGCTGAAGAGCTGAGAGATAGCACCCAGGCTCAGAGTTCAAGCCCTATGACTGACAAAAAAAAAAGACTGACAAAAAAAAAAAAAATGGGGCTTAGTGGTACCATACATGAAGCCCTGGGTACAATTCTTCAGTACTACATAAACAAAAATTGCCAGAAGTAGCGCTGTGACACAAATGGTAGAGTACTAGCCTTGAGCAAAAGAAGCTCAGAGACAGGGCCCAAGCTCTGAGTTCAAGCCCCAAGACTGGCAAAAAAAAAAAAAAAAAGACACTGAGACCACAGTGTCTCCTACATCTCATTCTCTCCACAATACCTCACCAACAGATAATCCCCTTCCTTTGAGATCAGTTTGCCCATCTGTGAAAGATCACTATAAGACATAATGACAGGGTTGGGAAGGTGGCTCAGTGGTAAAGTGCTTGCCTCACATGCATGAGGTCCTGGGTTGGATTCCTCAGTACCACATAAGCAGAAAAAGCCGGAAGTGGAGCTGTGGCTCAAGTGGTAGAGTGCTAGTCTTGAGCTGGAAGACCTGAGGGACAGAGTCTAGGCCCAGAGTTCAGGCCCCATAACCAACCAAAACAAAAAAAAAGGGGGGGGGAAGAAGGGGTACAATAGCTGGGGATACATTTCAGGGGTAAAGGGTTAACCTAGTATGCATGAAATTCTACGTTCAATAACCAGTATTACCAAGAGGAAAATAAAGCCCTTTGTGACCGGGAACCAGTGGGTGACACCTGTAAAACTAGCTATTCAGAAGTCTGAGATCTGAGGATCGCAGCAAAGCCAGGGCTCAAAAGTCTATGAGACTCTTTTTTTTTGGTCATGAGGCTTGAACTTTGGGTTTGGGCGCTACCCCTCAGCTCTTCAGCTCAAGGTGAGCACTCTACCACTTGAGCCACAGCGCCACTTCCAGTTTTCTAGTGGTTTATTGGAGATAAGAGTCTCATGGACTTTTCCTGCCCAGGCTGGCTTTGAACCCTGATCCTCAGATCTCAGCCTCCTGAGTAGCTAGGATTACAGGTACGAGCCACAGGTGCCCAGCTTGTCTCTGAAACTCTTATCTCCAATGAGCCACTAAGAAAACAGGAAGTGGTGCTGTGGCTCAAGTGGTAGAGCACTTAGCCTTGAGTTAAGGAGCTGAGGGACAGTGCCCAGGCCCAGAGTTCAAGCCCCACGACCGACAAAAATAAATAAAGCCCTTTGTATTTAATAATCCAATCATCAAATGAAATACATACTACTACCTTAATTTTATGAGAATTTTATTTTGCTTAAAACAACAAAGTTGGCAATAGGTAAAAGTCATTAAATCTTTCTCAAATTCCTTCTCTCTATGGAATTTTTAAAACTAGAGGGCTGGGGCTTGATAACCTCAGTTCAAACCCAAATATCATTAAAAAAAAAAAGGGGGGGGGATACTGGTGGCTCACACCTGTAATCCCACCTACACAAGAGGCTGAGATCTGAGAATCCTAGTTCAAAGCCAACTGAGACAGTCCATGAGATTCTTATTTCCAATTAACCACCAGAAAACTGGAAGTGGTGCTGTGGCTCAAAGTGGTACAGTGCTAGCCTTGAGCAAAAGAGCTTAGGGACAATGCCCCAAAGTTCAAGGCCCACAGCAAAAAAAAAAAAAAAAAGATTGAGTTAAAACTATAATTTTGGGCTGGGAAGGTGGCTCAGTGGTAGAGCGCTTGACTTGCATGCATGAGGCCCTGGGTTCGATTCCTCAGCACCACATAAGCAAAAAGAAAAAAGCCGGAAATGGCGCTGTGGCTCAAGTGGTAGAGCGCTAGCCTTGAGCTGAAGAGCTGAGGGACAGCGCCCAGGCCCAGAGTTCAGGCCCCACGACCGGACCCAAAACAAAACAAAACAAAACTATAATTCTATGCCAGCTCCAAGTTGATCCAGAATATCAACAATCCCACTTTATCCAAGAAAAGTCAACCAATTCACTATACCTGGCAAGTATCATCCCTGTTTTCTGGATACTAGAACAGAACAAGTCTAAGCACATGAACCAGTAAAAGGCAAGGTCCATATCTCATGTGTACTCTGAACAATGCTCAGAGTAAGTGTTTAGCCTATATTTGAAAGCAGAAATAACTAAGAGACTTTTCCAAGACAAAGTAGCAAGTAGAAAAACAAGAAGTTTTCTCAGGGCTGGGAAGGGGGCTTAGTGGTAGAGATGCCTTGCATATGTGAGGCCCTGAGTTCAATTCCTCAGCACCACAAAAGCAGAAAAAGCTGGACCTTGAGAGCTTGTTTGGAGGTTCTAGCAGGGGAGCGCAACTACTCGTATACCCTTGACCGAAGACCGGTCCTCCTCTATCGGGGATGGTCGTCCTCTTCAACTGAGCGCGCAGCTTCGGGACGGACGCACATGGAGCAGTGAGGGAGGAAGGGGACACCCGCCTAGCCAGCCAGATCAGCCAAATCAACCCTGGCGATCAATGGGGTGACAGATGTCGCAGCCAGATCACCCTCACATCCAAAAGCAGAAAAAGCTGGAAGTGGGGCTACAGCTCTAGTGGTAGAGTGCTAGCCTTGAGCTAAAGAGCCAAGGGACAGCGCCCAAGCCCAGAGTTCAGGCCCCATGACAAAAAAAAAAAAAAAGTTTTCTCATTTCTTAAGTATAGGCCATAGTCTATACCTATTACAGGTGAACTAGATTCCAAGAAAAACATTTAGCCTAGTGATATAACTTAGTGGTAGACTGCTTGCCTGGGCCCAACTCTCAATAGCACAGAACAATAATAGAATAGACAGAACTCAATCTGGTCCCATTAGCATCTACTGAATCCATCTAAATTCACAGATTAATACAATGCTGATAAAGAGGTTTACATAAATTTAACTACCTCAGGTTCCCTGTGAAATTATCTTACACAGAAATGCATCTGTACCTTCAGGAGGAGGAGCAAACAAACTCTATCTAAACTGATAGAATGTCAGGAAATTCTAATTCAAAAACTTCTTCTTAACATTTCCAATATAAGAATTCACTGTGAGGGCTGGGAAGGTGGCTCAGTGGTAGAGCGCTTGCCTTGCATGCTCGAGGCCCTGGGTTCGATTCCTCAGCACCACATAAGCAAAAAGAAAAAAAGCCGGAAGTGGCGCTGTGGCTCAAGTGGTAGAGCGCTAGCCTTGAGATGAAGAACTGAGGGACAGCGCCCAGGCCCAGAGTTCAGGCCCCACGAACGGACCCCAAAAAAAAAAAAAAGAATTCACTGTGAGCCTTGCTCTGGTAGATCACACCTATAATTCTAACTATTCAAGAGGCTGAGATTTGAAGCTCGTGTTACGAAGCCAGCCCAGAGAAGGAAGTCCATGAGACTCTTTAACTCCAACAAACTACTCAGAAAAAAGCTGGATTGGCACTGTAGCTCAAGTGGTAGAGTGCTAGCTTTGAGTAAAAAGAAGCTCAGGGACAGGGCACAAGCCCAAAGATCAAGCCCCAGAACCAAAAAAAAAAAAAGAAATTCACTATAAGATCTTCTTCTCAATAAGCAGAAGCTTCTTGTAAATTAATTCTGTCTACCCAAACACTGGTGTCTCACACCTGTAATACTAGCTACTCAGGAGACTGAGATCTAAGGATCTTGGTTGGAAGCCAGCCCTGACAGTAAAGTCCATGAGACTCTTATCTCCAATTAACCACCAGAGAAACAGAAGTGGCACTGTGGTTAAGTGGTAGAGTGCAAGCCTTGAATAAAAGAAGCTCAGGGACAGTGCCCAGGCCCTACAACTGAAAAAAAAAAATTAATCCTGTCTATCTTCTGTTCAAGACCTGAACTTCCTGAAACAACATATCATTCGTGTCTTCTCATTTCCTTTCATGCTTCATAAAGCCGGGCTCCAGGGGCTCACGCCTGTAATCGTAACTACTCAGGAGACTGAGATCTGAGAACCAATGTTCAAAGCCAGCCCAAGCAGGAAAGCCTGTGAGACTCTTATCTCTAATTAATCACCAGAAAACCAGAAGTGGCGCTGTGGCTCAAGTGGTAGAGTGCTCACCTTGAACTGAAGAGCTCAGGGACAGTGCTTAGGCCCAGAGCTCAAGCCCCAATAAGTAAATAAATAAATACCAACTACCTAAGGATAAAATGAAAATTATAGGGCTGAGAGTGAAACTCAGGAGTAAAGAGCACTTGCCTAGCATGTGGTCCTAGGTTCCATCCCCAGCACTGCAAAGAAAAAAGAAAAAAATGAAAATTATATGATAGACTGCCATAATCATAAAGAAAATGCAAAGAGTAACCACAAACTTATAGTCAATTTGATTTCCTGCTAGTTTAATAATTAACATTTATCAAGGCCTTAAACTAACACAAGCATAGTTATAAGACAAAATAGGCTCAAAAAATTTACCAAGTATGGCCCCTGACTTGAAAAGCTCACTATTAGGTACAAGAAGTGCATATTCTCAGGGCTGGGAAGGTGGCTCAGTGGTACAGCACTTGACTTGCATGCATGAGCCCTGGGTTCGATTCCTCAGCACCACATAAGCAAAAAGAAAAAAGCCGGAAGTGGCGCTGTGCCTCAAATGGTAGAGTGCTAGCCTTGAGCTGAAGAGCTCCCAGGCCCAGAGTTCAGGCTCCATGACCAGACAAAAAAAAAAAAGAAGTGCATATCCTGTATCCTGATACTAATAAAATAAATAAACACTTTTCCTGAGGACTTTTTCATATATGCCCTCACTTACTCAGAGCTATTAAAACCAAGCTATTCTCTCACTAAGCCTCCTTATTTCCACCTTCCTAGTAATGTCTTCCTCTACACAAGCAACTTAACCTTAATACCTCAGATTGTCCTCATTAATTTCCTCCTATTGCCACTCCTACCTTTAAAATTCTGCTCTTGGGGGGGGGGGGGAATATAGCACAGTGGTAAAGCACCTGCCTAGCAAGTGCAAGGTCCTGACCTCAAAACTGAAAAGAAAAAAAATCTGCTCTACTTTTTTTGTTTGTTTGTTTTGTTCCAGTATGGAGGCTTGAACTCAGCCTCATGCTCTCATTCAGTATTTTTGTTCACAGTTGGCCCTCTATTACTTTAGTCACATCTCTACTTCTCGCTTTTTGCAGATTAATTAAAGTTTCAAGTATTTTTCTGCCTGGGATAGCAACCTAAATAGGATCCTCAGAGCTCAGCCTACTGAGTAGCTAGAATTATATGTATGAGCCTCCATAACCCAGCTGCTCTACTTTTTCTATACCTTCCAATACAGAATCCTAGTTATTTTCACATCGTAGTCAATGAAATCTCCATGTATTCTATGTCTTAGAAATAAGATCCCACTCTTCCGAAACAGTTTCTGCCATCATTATCCCAGCATAATTTATTCAGACCGTCAGTCAATAGCAAAAACTAGTTTGTCTCCTTTTTCATTATTTTAACGTTAATCCCAAACTTAAAATCTTCAATGACTCCCCACTCTCATCTCCAGACAATTTCCCAATATACATCCTATTTTACACAAATTTTGTTTTGTTTTTTTTTTGTCGGTCATGGGGCCTAAACTCTGGGCCTGGGCACTGTCCCTCAGCTCTTCAGCTCAAGACTACCACTCTACCACTTGACCCATAGCTCCACTTCCATTTTTTTTTCTGCTTATGTGGTGCTGAGAAATCCAACCCAGGGCCTCTTGCATGCAGGGCAATCACTCTACCACTCACTGAGCCACCTTCCTAGCCCTAGACAAATTTTTGATATATAAATACCACATCACTTCTTCCCCTCACATTTTCCACCATGTCTTTGTAAAGACTGTTTTCTCCAAGTGAATGACTTTTCTCCCTTTTGCAAGTATCTATTCGCCCTTGCCACCCAACTCAAGTATCTGGTGCCTACAAAGATCGCTGACTCTCCAGGCAGCAGCTGTATTTCACTGTACAAATATCTTCTCTATGTGCATATGTAACACAGCAATACTAATCTCATCAAAATATGTCTCTCTGAAGTCCCTGAGGAAAGATATTATTTCTAACCTCAGGGTCAGTTACATGGTAAGTACTCAATAAATGTATTTTGAATAAACAGCTCACCCTCATTTATCCTGGATCAATTTGCCATTTGACTATATTCTTCAAACTACAGATTTTTAAACTGTGCTCAGTGTGAAAGTCCAAATTTGGTGGTTTTTCAGGGGTTCTGCTGTGTGTACGTGTGTGCACACACCAGCATTAGGCTTGAACTCAGCTTAGCTTTTTTACTCCACACTAGTGCTCTACCACTTGGGCCACACCTCCATTTCTGTTTTTTTTCTGGTTGAGTGGAGATAAGACTGTATATCACATTGACAATTTAAAAAAAAAAAAAAGAGTTTCAAGGACTTTCCTGCCCTGGTTGGCTTTGGATCCTGAATCTCAGCCTTCTGATTAGCTAAGATTCCAGGCATGAACTACCTACACCTGGCCAAATTTGATGCTTTCAAGTTTGTTTTTTAAATATGCAAATGTAGGGCTGGGAAGGATGCTCAGTGATAGAGTACTTGCCTTGCATGCATGAGGCCCTGGGTTCCATTCCTTAGCACCACATAAGCAGAAAAAGCCGGAAGTGGCGCTGTGGTAGAGCGCTAGCCTTGAGCTGAAGAGCTGAGGGACAGCGCCCACACCCACACTTTAGGCCCCACGACCGGCAAAAATAAATAAATAAATAAAATGCAAATGTAGAACATGACACTAAATTACAACGTCTGAAAATCTAATGAAAATATATTAAAGACTTCCTTATTCAATAAGAATGGGAATTTCCAGTAACATCCAAACCAAAAGAATCAAATCTACTTTTCCCTAGAAAAAGAGAAAAGCCTTTCAGAAATTATACAATGTACCCAAGTCCAACTGGATACACACTGAAAATAATTCCAAAGAAGTAACCTGCACTAAATTAGAGCCAAAGATACCATTATTTGTCCTAGTTTACAAATAAACGCATCTTGCTAAGTTCAAAACTTCCCGCCCTCCCCCCCCTCCCAGAGAGGAAAAACCCAATGGGATGTGATGATCCAGAAATATTTATTAGAGCCCAGCCTGAGTTTCCACTGCCCTGTTCCTCGGTCGCAGCACTCCTCAGCTTCAGATCGCTCTCCTTTCCCAGGGAACCAGTTGTCGGTCCTCAGTTTCCTCCCCACACTCCCATGGAAACAAGTTAGTTTCCTGGCGGAAACCAAATAACCCCAAGAAAACACTGCAGCTTCCTTCATGGATTCTGTGTGAAGGGTGAGCTGAAGCTGGTGGGTCTGACACTAAAGAGGGCAGAGAAGGCCCTTCCAGGACACCAGAAGACTTTCCGGACAGACCGACCGGCCCTCTTCCAGATCATCTCTTGGAGCTCAGGGACATAAACAACTTGGGAAGAGAGGTTCTCAAGGCAGCTAAAGGGGTCGAGGTCAACTCAGGGCTGAGGTCAAAGGTCAGAGCCTGGGCTGCCTGGGCTACCTGGATGCCCCCGCAGGAGCAGGAAGAGGGACGAGGCCCGCACCAAGGGCTCGGCAGGACCCGCCGCAGGGGAAGCGGACCTAGAGCGGCTGGACCAGGGGCGTCCCAGGCCCAGCCCTCCCCACCGGCCGCACACCCCCTCAGCAGCAGTCCATCCTCCCTCCCAGCCCCCCGTCACCCCCGTCGTCCCCACGGCAAGCGCAAGCCCCGCCTACAGAGCCGCCTCTGGGCCAAGGCCTACTATGACAGGACTCGAAGCAGTCCCAGAGGTTCGAGGGCCGGGCCGGGCCGGCACCGCTTACCCAGCCCCCGGCTCCTCCTCTATTACCCGCGCCGCTCCCGGGCCCGCTCGCTCCCGACAACACCGACGGCGCCACGGCTCGGAGTTCACGGGCGGGCGCGCTCCCGACCTCCGCGACCCTTCCCCCGTCGGCCGCGCCACGCCGGGTCCTAAAACCCGCCTTGCGCTGTGTTAGTCCACGCCCGCTTCCTGAGTTGGCTCAGACCACGATTCCCAGCAAGCACCGCAGAGACTACAACTCCCGAAAGGCATCGCGAGAAAGACCTTAGCAGAGAAACTCATCCAGAGTCCCTGCTTGATGCAAGTAACAATGGAACGGGTTTTTTTTAACATCACTGACCCTTTGAACTCATTAACCGGTCTAGGAATGAATGAATCCTCTAGAAACAGCAATGTTTGGAAAGGCCTAGCTTACAAGTCCTTCTTTGCAACTTTGTAAGTTGTGTATTAGAAACAGACTCAACAAATGTATCAACTACGTACAAAACATTCTGTAGAGTTGTATTAACAGGGTAAATCTGTCTGGTTTTCTCTTATGCAAGTGGGACCTTAGCTTTGAGGTCCATCTTCAGCAGCCCTTCCCCCCAAAAAGTACCAGGCACCTACTGTGTGTATGTGAATATTTGATATAATCTTAACCAGGGTGAATGAAGGGGTATCATCTGGACTTGGCCACTAGATGCAGCCTTCAAGGACTTTGGCTCTTAATCAAGAGATGTAAAAATGACTGGGCACTGGGTTGTTCATATCTGAAATCCTAGTTATTTGTGAGGCTGAGTTCAAGAGAATGGCGGTTCAAGACCAGCTCAGGCAAAAAGTTCAGTAGTTACAGAGACATACAGAAATATATATAGCAATTTTCACACACACACACACACACACACACTTACTTTTTCCTTCACCAGTTATCAATTGAAGTTTGTCTTTGTGACTGACTCTACCCTAAAAATGAAGATAGGATAAAAAATGGCAAAAATCCTATGGCAAATAAAAGCAACTGGAGGAAAAATAATTTGGATTAAGAAAATTTTAGAACATATTGAGATGAAAATACCAGTGAAATATACAAACAAATATCTAGTAGATACTTGAGATCTAGTAGTAGATATGTAGATATGTAGTAGATCTAGTAGATCTAGATACCCTTTATTGGTACTCAGCAGAGATATCTAGGGTGTAGATAAACATTTCCCAGTTATTGATTTTTGAAGTAATTGTTCAAGCCTTGAGGAAGAAAATAACCTATGAAGAGGGAAACTGAAAGTGAGACAAAGTCCCAGATGGAGCTGGAGCATGGGAGGAGTGCCAACATACATAAAAGTGTGTTGTTACTGTTTTTCCTAGCAAACTGTTGGTTTTGATGATGAATTGTTGATGTGGTAAAGTTGTTTGGGGCAATGACTCTGACTGGGCCAGAATGCTTGAGGGGAAATCTCACCTCTACTGCCTAATAATCTTTTTTGTTGTTGGTGGTGGTGGTCTGAGGCTTAAACTCAAGGCTTCAGCGCTGTCTCTCAGCTCTTCAGCTTAAGGCTGGTGCTCAACCGCTTGACCCACAGTGCCACTTCCGGTTTTCTGGTGGTTTATTGGAGATAAGAGTCTCACGGACTTTGCTGTCTGGGCTGGCTTCAAACTGCGATCCTCAGATCTCAGCCTCCTGAGTAGCTAGGATTACAGGCATGAGCCACCGGCGGCGCCCGGCTGCTTAATAATCTCAAAAGATCAAGGACAATTTTCTTCTTCACCTCTTTGATATATATGTGTGTGTGTGTGTGTGTGCGCGCGCGCGCGCGCGCGCGCGCCTGCGGTGGGGGGGGGGAGTTTGCTTGTTTGTTTTGAATTCACTTGAGCCATGCCTCCAGCCCCTGGCACTTTCTTTTCCTTATCTGTAAAGAGGAGGCCACCTGACCCATAGTGCTTGCTATGGAAATGTTAAGTACTACTATTATTTTTCACTAAATTGTCACCTCCACGAGGCTGAAGTTTTCCATTTTATTCAGGATCTTCTATTTATAGCCTGGCACAGTGTAACTGCTCCAGAAAAGTTTCATTAATGAATGTTAGGGGAAGAGAGTGAGACTTGGAGAGAAAGCATAACTCTCAAATCAGGATCCAGAAAAATTGCAGTTCCTGTATTGAGCTCTGGGTCGGCCCCCCCACGGTTTGCAAGAGCCTGGACTACTGAGCTGCAGCCCTGCTTGGACAGTACTCCAGGGTGAAGTCGCGGGCCCAAAGCCACCCACGCTTCAGTGAACCCACCCGCTGCCCCGCAGGACTCCTTGGGCTCCGCCCACATGGGCGTGTCACGCCGGGAGAGCGTATCCTGGGGCAATCCCCGAGCTAGCCTGTCGGGGCGGGGTGGGGCGGGGCAGACTCTCAGGCTGGGCCTAGGCCCGCCTCACCCACGGGGAACGGAAGTCTCAGCCTGGCTCTCGACCCCTCCGAGAATCACCGACCCGGGTGGGGGGAGAGCGGGGCTTCCATCCACGGGGCGGCTGGGCTCGGGCGAGCTCCGTGACGGGGAAGCACTATGAAGCGTGTGGGGAGTCTGCGCCTGCTTTCAGACCTGAGCAACTTCAGCGGCGCAGCCCGGCTCCGGGAGTTGTTGGCCGGGGACCCAGCCGTCCGAGTCCGCGGTAGCCTGGATGGCCGCTACCTGCTGCTGCTGAGACCCCCGGGATCACCCAGTCCGCAGCTGCTGGTGGCTGTGCGTGGGCCCGGCGTGGAGCTGGAGCGAGCCTGGCCGGAGGGCCAGCCCTCCCCGCTAGACGCCTTCTTCCTGCCCTGGCCTGCGCGCCCCGCGCTCATCCTGGTGTGGGAGAGCGGCCTAGCCGAAGTCTGGGGCGCAGGCATAGAGCCCGGCTGGCGGCTGCTTCAGAGCACCGAGCTGTGTCCGGCCGGGCGAGCCCGTGTGATGGCCGTGGCGGCGCCGCGGGGCCGCCTGGTATGGTGCGAGGAGCGACAGTCGGGCGCTGAGGACCAGCCAGGGCGACCCGCCACCCCCTTCAGTCACTGCGTTTGCGCCGTGAGTCTGGAGCCAAGTGGAGAGGCTGGTACCATCCTGGGCCGCACACAGGTCCTGCTGCACCACTGCCCCTCTTTGGAGGTGATAGCCTCCCGCAAAGACATCTTTCTGGTGCCCACTGCGACCACCTGGCCTGGGGTGGCCCACGTCCTGCTCATCTGGAGCCACACCAAGGGCAAGGTGATAGTGGCCGCCCCAGGTCTTGGCCTCTCCCACAGTAGAAGCCTGAATCCCAGACAAGGGGACACCTGGGACTTTCGGACCCTGCTTCGAAGCCTTCCTGGGTTGCTGTCACCCAGGGAGCCATTGGCTGTACACACCTGGGCTCCAACTCCTCAGGGCCTGCTGATGCTTGACTTCAGAGGCACCGTGAGCCTAGTGCAGTCCCATGGTTGTACCCGAACTGTTGGCACCCTGCAGGAAGCACCCATAGGCCTGGACAGTTCTGCAGCCTTGGGAACATTTCATGGTACTCTGGCTTGTGTGTTGGGCTCCTCCCTGGAACTACTGGATATGGGAAGTGGGCAGCTGCTGGAGAGGAAAGTCCTAAGTACAGACAGAGTACATTTGCTCGAGCCCCCAGCCCCTGGCATGAAGGATGACAAAGAGCTGGAGACCCGAGGTCTGTGCTTGCTTTCAGCCTTGGGTCTGTTCTGTGTGGGTTGGGAAGCCTCCCGGGACCTTGACCTGCCCTCAGCCAGCAACCTGGTGTTTGAGGAGGCCTGCAGCTACTACCAGCGGCGAAGCCTGCGAGGTGCCCAGCTCACTCCAGAGGAACTGAGACTCAACAGCACCTTCCAGGCACCTCAGGCCTTGGCCTCCATCCTGCAAGGCCACCTACCTCCATCTGCCCTGTTGACTACACTGAGAGCTGAGCTTCGGGATTACCGGAGTTTAGAGCTGCTCAAGACCCAGCTGGTAGCTGGAGATGAGGAGGAGGCTGGCTGGACTGAGCTGGCAGAACATGAAGTGGCCCGCCTGCTGAGGACTGAGTTGACAGGAGACCACCTGGCCCAGCTCAACACTGTTTTCCAAGCCCTTCCTACAGCAGCCTGGGGTGCCACATTCCGTACCCTACAGCTCCAGCCGGATGGGAATGGCAAGCTGAGGTCTCAAGCTCCCCCTGATGTGTGGAAGAGGGTGCTACAGGATACAACAGCTACAAAGGACGCTCCCAATGGAATACTGCCTCCTTTTGAACTCCTGTGCCAGTGCTTATGCCAGTTGGAGCCTCAGTGGTTGCCTCCCTTTGTAGAACTGGCACAGCTGCAGGGTGGGCCAGGATGGGGGGCTGGAGGCCCAGGGCTACCCCTCTATCGCCGAGCCCTAGCAGTGCTAGGTGAAGATGGAACCAGACGTGAAGCGCTGGAGCTCGAGCTGCTTCTAGGCAGTGGACGCCCAAAAGCTGTACTGCAAGCTGTGGGGCAGCTGGTACAAAAGGAGCAGTGGGAGAGGGCCCTGGAAGCTGGCCTGGCCCTTGCCCCCTCCAGTCCTCTGCTTCGAAGTGAGATCTTCAAACTGCTACTGGCTGAGTTTGCCAGACATCGCCACCTTGATGCTCACCTCCCACTTCTTTGCCGCCTCTGCCCACCTGAAGTGACCCCAGAAGATCTCCTTCTTCTACTACAAGCACATCTCCCAGATGAGGTGGGGCCTCCTGCTCCATTCCCTGAGCCGGGTGTAGAGCCCCCTCTCACGGTGGGCTTGCTTAAAGCCCTGCTGGAACAAACCGGAGCCCAAGGACGGCCTTCAGGCCCAGTTCTAAGCCCATATGAGGACATCCTTTGGGACCCAGGCACTCCACCTCCTACCCCACCTCGAGGACCAGTGACTACTCTTTAGACATCAACAACCCAGGCCTGGAGTCCTAGGAACCATCTGAACAGGACTCTTGTGTGACTGACATAGGAAATCACTTGCAGGACACAGTGATCAAGGAAGAGTGTCTAAGAGTTGGAAGGGGCCAAGGTGGAGCCTGTGTGTGCAATATTCTTCTCTCACTCTCAGAGAAAACTGTTAAATATTTATTAATATTAAAATAAACACTTTTTTTGAACAGCTGAGGGTCTGAGGAAATTGTGAGACT